AATAAGCTTACTCTATCTTGCATTTTTTATTTTGTTAAAAAAGAAAACAACTGATGGAAAACTACGGTTATCCACTCATTTTAGGCTTGGAAAGGTTATGAAGAATTTCACTATGTTCGTGGTTACAATTAAACTGATCCACCAGCTTACGCTTGAGTTTGATTATGTTTACAACAAAATTAGACTATACTTTAGTCCTCCCAAAAACTTTGTTCAAAATTGTCCTAAATCTTCACTTTAGGAGGTCTATGCCGATTTACGAGTAATTCCGGTCTAAATCCCGCCATCATTCTTCTCTCGACGCGGTTTTATTTTTGTTCTAGTTGTGCCATGTCACATATTGAAAATGCCCTCCACTGATAAAATAGCTCTTTTGCACTTATATTTTGAGTCCATGTCAACCCTTTTTGCTTTAAGATATTTTATTTTGTCCGGTTGCACATTCCTAACACTATCTTATATTCTTATTGTTATTTGACAAAAAAAAATATATATATTCTTATTGTTGCATAATTCCATCCATAGTACAATTTTTTTGTCGAACATGAACTGTAACTTAGAGTCTTAGACCTCTTCCTTTGCATCCCAAAAAGCCTAACAAAAATTTGCTCTAAAGAGTACAATTTTTCTCATGCGCATCACCTACATGGGCGCAGAAATTGAGCATCAGCTCACTTAATCAAATCTTGGCCTTTCATTTTTTTTTTTAAAATGAAAACAAGTGATCGTGATCAGGTTTTAGAAGTTGATGAGCAATGCATTTGCATGTGGGTAATGCGCAGGGTAGAAAAACTGCTCAAGAGTATTCGGTAGAGCAAAGGAGGTAGCCTGTTAGGTAAGAATGCTTTAGACCATCTAAAGGAGATGTCAAAATTTAAACACAAATTTAAATTTGAAGGCTTATGTGGCCCATCGATCTTTGTATCAATTCTGTTCTCCAACCGATATGTCAAATTTAAACTATTATTTATTACATTATTTACTTTTTATAGTTGTAATTAGTATTTTAAAACAAAAGATAACTATTAAAAAATTATAAAAGGTATTTATTAATTACTAAAAATAGATTTGAAGATGTTGTCAAATTTGACAGCAACTTTATCTGCTGCATTTTTATGTCATGTCACATAGGAATTTGTATTTTGGTTGGAAAACACTAGTGATGTCTTTTATTACTGTTATTGTTGATGTAGACTGTCACATCCCGGCCCGGGCCCCCCACAACATCCCGAGCTCGACTCTGCCGTAGCACGATATTGTCTTATTTGGGTCCTGACCATGCCCTCACGATTTTGTTTCTGGGAATTCACACGAGAACTTCCCAGTGGGTCATCCATCATAGGATTGCTCTCGCGCGAACTCGCTTAACTAAAAAGTTCCGATGGAACCCGAAGCCAGTGAACTCCCAAAAAGCCTCGTGCTATATGGAGGTGGGCATGTACGTATAACGCACATCACCCCCTCTCTATTGGTCGATATGGGATGTTATAATATTATTACATCCCACACTACCCAGGGGAGTGGATCCTCTAAGCCTTATATGTACATGCCCACCTCCTATAACACAAGACCTTTTGGGTGTTCACTGGCTTCGGGTTCCATCGGAACTCCGATGTTAAGCGAGTTCGCGCGAGAGCAATCCCATGATGGGTGACCCACTGGGAAGTTCTTGTGTGAGTTCCCAAAAATAAAACCGTGAGGGCATGGACACATCCCGACCTGGATTGTCCACTAGGACTCCGAATCAAGTTGTGTTGGCCGACACCTGGAAGGTGGCGAAGCCATAAAGTGTAGTGATGTGGAAAATGTGAATGAATTTAAACCTAAAAGTGCCTAAATAGAAGAGTGCGCTATGAGCATGAATGAACGCATTTCACACGTGAAGTCAGAGTATAAGTAAAGTACAGTAGAGTAGATTGAGAATCGTACCATAAAAGGTAATCTCTAATACCAAGATTTGCCACGAATTCTCGTCAATAAGAAAGCTCAGCTATTAAAACCTGGATGGGGAAAAAACAAAGGTGAGTGGGCCTGAAAATAAAGTTCTAATAAAAACCTTTTGAAAATGTTATAACCCATTATTGTAAAACCTGTATAGTTTCCAAAAAATCATACTACATATAAGTATGAAATCAAATGCAACTCAACAGTAAATCCAGAAATATTCCAAATCACTACATATCAGCAGCGGTATAATAAAATCAGGTGCTCATCAATCTATGCTGACACATGAGTCAGAATTGCCTAAGGCAACCTATACGACTCATAAATCAATCTATGATAACACACGAGTCGGAGTTGCCTAAGGCAACTTGTACTACTCAATAGGCAACATGTACGACAATGTTGAAGTTGCCTATTATTGCAACATGTACGACAAGGTCGGAGTTGCCTATTATTGCAACCTGTACGACAGTGTTGGAGTTGCATAAAGCATAAATATAGTCATGCCATAACTCAATCATTTCAAATAACACCATAAACTCACCTGAACTTACTTGAGCGTCCCGCGTTCACCTTAACACTTCCAAGCATTCACAACAATTATATGCAGGTAATATGCATATGGATATGCCATGATGCAATTTAAAACTCAACCATATGATAGTATTTAAAATATATATATATATATATGACATGGCATAAAATGCCTAAATCAATTTAAAAGCATTTGTTGAACTATCAATCATATATATACTATAAAAAGGAAAAGACTCACTCAACTGAAGTCCGTGCTACAATTCCCTAGCACAAATATCGAGGCATCACGAATCATCATCGCTTAGAACAATTATCAAATAACGTCTTAGAATGCTTATCACTAGAACATGTAATTTACATAAAATACATCCTCAAGATACACATTATGCTTCTAGAACATCATACTAAATTTCATTACGATCCAACGGTCGGATTTCCGCCAATTGCTAGAATTAAGTGGCGACCGACGTTTCATTTTACGAGCTTACAAATCCAGTTCGGGAAGATCCGTTTGTCGGATTCCCAATCCGTTAGTTTCTATTGTCCTCAAATATTATGTATTATAATGTATTAAAGTTTGGTGACGATCCAACGGTCGGATCGTCAATTCATATAAGGATCAAGTAACGATTTGTATCATAACTATGTTCAAACGATGAAATTCCATCAATCGGACTTCACATATGGAATTGGGGTATCAAATTTAGCCTAGGAAGGTTAGGGGATACCTCGGCCCATTCACTGCCGTACATAATGGTCGGCCGTCCCTACTCGCCGGAAAAATCAACTGTTTCTAAAAATTCTCAAATTTCATAGAAATGAAGATCTCAATGAGTAGAGAAAGTTTTATACCTGTGGCCAAGTCCAATTTGGCTTGGAAAAACTCCAATTTAGCTCGCACCCACCGGAAACCTAAGGTGGGTGTTCTTCGATTCTCATTCCTCGGTGTTCCAATGCCCCTATCACTGGTTGGGTCTTGTTCTTGGGTCCAAGGGAAATTGATTAAGGGTGGTGCAGCTCGCCGGATCGACGAATCGCCATCGAGGACCTCCGGGTTCTCTGGTGAAGTTCTACACAAAAATGGACCTAAAACCCTTCAATTTTGGGCGGAAATGGTAGATGGGAAGTGATGGAAGAAGTTGCAGGTGTTGGATGTGAATGAATCGCCTGAAAAATGGTGGAAGACCGCCGGAAACCACTTCGGGTCAAAATCAGGTTTCTGCGTGTGAAGGGCTACGGGAAGGGAAGTTGAGAGCTTCTCTCTCTCATCTCCTCATTGGCTAACTCCCTCTTTTTCAAATTTTTTGATTGGTCCTCCCTTACTTTAATTGATTTGGTCCCTTATTTTCTTGCTTAAATCTGATTGGCTTCTTTTCCACAAGATGGGAGTTCAATTTATTTATAATCTAAAATGTAAATAACCAATTTCAAACTTCTATAACTATACCGTTATAATCCGGACTTGCAAACGGCTTCCGCCTATGCGCTCATAGTGACGAACTCGCTTAACTTCGGAGTTTCGATGGAATCCGAAGCCAGTGAGTTCCCAAAAGGTCTCATGCTATATAAAGGTGGGCATGTACATATAAGGCATATCACCCCCTCTCCGTTAGTCGATGTGGGATGTTACAATCCATCTCCCTTAGGGGCCCGATATCCTCGTCCGCACACTCGCACCGAACGGCAAAGTGGCTCTGATACCATTCTATCACATCCCAGACCGGCTCCACCGTAGCACGATATTGTCCGCTTTAGGCCTCAGCCACGCCCTTATGGTTTTATTTTTTGGGAACTCACATGAGAACTTCCCAATGGGCCACTTATCCTAGGAATGCTCTCGCGCAAACTCGCTTAACTTCGGAGGTCCGATAGAACTCGAAACTAGTGAGCTCCCAAAAGGCCTCGTGCTATATGGAGGTGGGCATGTACATATAAGGCACATCACCCCCTCTCCGTTGGTTGATGTGGGATGTTACATGGACTTTTTGACATCTCATTTGAAAATGCTCTTAAGAACAAGGGTATTTTTCTTTTCTTACTATTCTAAAAAACTATTAAAAAATTAAGCTATAGCCACGAATATTGAGGCATCGGCTTACCAACCGTGGCATTTTTGTTCAATACCCACAATTATTGGGGAACAACCATATGGCTTATCTCGCTTTTGTTAATAATGGGTGGCAAAATAACATTTTAATTTTAGGGGTGTGATATCCACACACACCCCATCTTCCTTCTCACACATATTTTTAATTTTCGATCATTGGATCAGATGAATTGAAGAAAATAAACAAACATAAATGTTCAAGGAGTGTGAGAAGTAAAATGAGATGTATAGATAGCACACCCCTTAATTTTTTTCCACTGTTTATGGTCAGTCGGATATCACCATGGATGAAAAAATAGAACGTTGGAATGGATCTAAAGCACTCTATTTCAAAGGTTAAGTTAGTAAACAGGTAAGGAGTCCTTTTGTTAAGCTTTGCAGTTGCAGGACTAATATACAAAACAAACAGAACGAGAAGCCCACGAAAAGTAATACTGTCATTACTTAAAAAACCATACAATGGAATGGAACGTGCTTATTGTGATGACGTAAATAATATCTCCCCACCCCCACCCCCATCGCGAGCCCCACCGCCACCCACCCTCACCCACCCTCTACATTCTACTAAGAATTTGATAAACAAAACTTGTCACTGTCTTTACAATTTGAACATTACTTTGATGGCATTACCCCCACGAGCACTGGTTGCAAACGCTTCTTCCACCTCCTTCTCCGTGAATCCAAAACGGTGCGTGATAAGCGGTTTCACGTCGATCTTCCCACTCCTCAAAAACTCGAGGCAAAGCGGCCATGTGTTCTTGTATCTGAAAACTCCAACAACGTCGACCTCCCTAGCAGCAGCAGGGGTGAGAGGCACTGTCATCAGGCCGTGTCCCATTCCGACAAGGCAGACTTTTCCGCCAGGACGAGTAGCATTGAGGCCGGTCGCCATGGTTTTGTTGAAACCCACACAATCGAAGGTCACATCCACTTCGGAGATCATGGCTTTTTTAATTTCGGCAACTTCATCATCTAAATCGTCCATTTTTGTTGAAACTTTGACGGTGTCATCAGCCCCGAGAGACTTTGCCATCGCTAGACGCTTGTCATCCATATCCACTATAACAATTCTTGGTGCCCCGAAAGCACGAGCGGCCAAAACTGAGACCAGACCAATAGGCCCTGCGCCGATGATCAGAACAGTTGTTTCAGGACCAACATTGGCTCGCCGACAAGCGTGAACCCCAACACTCAAGGGTTCACACATTGCCCCTTCCTCCAAGCTCACATTTTCCGGCAACTTAAAGCACAGATCTGCAGGGTGCACAATCTGATTAGCCAAGGCACCGTGAACCGGTGGGGTGGCGAAAAACTTCATGTCGGGACAGAGATTGTAGCGGCCTCCTTTGCACTGCTGGCAATGTGCGCAGCTGATGCCGGGCTCAACCGCCACTCGGTCACCGGGCACCAGATGCTTCACCTCGCTCCCAACTTTGTCTACGATCCCAGCACACTCATGTCCGATCACCATCGGCTCTTTAACCTCAAAATCCGCACATTTCATGGTCTTGAGGTAGTGAACATCACTTCCGCAAATGCCGACAGCCTTAATTCGAATTTGAACATCATTCGGTCCTAAAATAAAGAAATCCCAACAAAATAGGGGAAAAACAAGTTAGCTATACATCCAAGAAAACAAAAAAAAATATAGAACTGCAAACTGAAACTAAAAACCGAACAGAACAACAACGAAATTAAAAAGGAGAGAGATTATTACCAATAGTGGGGAGCTTGAAAGGTAGGATCTTGATGGTGTTAACATCAACGAGCCAAGCAGCCATGTTTTCCTTCTCCACAGGTTTGACATCTCTAACCATGCCATTGCAGGATTGGCCTCCCTTGCCCATTTTTTACTCTTCTCTGGTTTTTTCTAGGGCGTTTATCTGTGTTTAGAAGACACAAACTTCTTTCTTCTCCAAATAAAATGGACACAGAAGACACGGAATACACGGAATACACGGACTTGTTTGATTTGTTGATGGAAATAGAGTGGATGCGGGATGGTATTTATATGAGTTTGGAGGAGTGTGATTTGGTCAAGTTGCCCTTATACAGCTATCCAAAACCAAACTGTATTATCCAATTACTTTACGGAAAAGGAGAAGTATCCATATTACCATTTAACAATGATCCGAGAAGTTAAAGTATTTTTGTAAATTATATTTTGATACGGAAGAAATAAGTCATCTAAAATATAAAAAAAAAAGTCCTTTTGTGATTGGTATAATTGCAGAATTTTTATTTACAGTGATGTTAAAGAGACTATATATATAATTTTTTAAGAAATGGTATTATCTATCCTAAGGAGAGGGGATAGGCTCAACCTCATAATGAATTAGTAATAATATAGTTCAAATTTGCATTTGGTAAAAATCAAACTTAAACAATCTGCTTTTAAAAAAGTCTACTTATAAAATACTAGTATTTGTCTACAAATTTTTTTAGAAAATTAGAAGGAGAGAGGGAGAGAGAGAGAACGTTGGGGGGGGGGGGGGGGGGGGGTTTTTTTTTTTTTTTTTAATATTGGAGGTATTTTAACATCACTTGTGAGGCTTCAATAAAAAAAGCAAAATTTGGACCTATGAAGTTACATTATTGTCTATCATTTTTTTTGTGTGTGATAGAAGATTAATTTGTTTTTTCATCATTTTTTTATTGACAAAAAAAATTTCATTAATTAATAAAAATATGAAATGACGGAAAGTCTATAAAAAAACTCTTTTGAAGAAGTCTTATTAGCATTTTTCTTTTTCTAAACAGCATAAATAAATATATATATATATATATATTTTTTTTTTTTGGTAAAGAAACAGAATAATATTTGGGGATTGATATTTACGAGCTTGTTGGAAGCAGCCGAATCGAAGTCACAATTACGAAAAGAGTAGGCGTGGGCCGGAATGAACGGATATTATGCATTTGCTGAATCGATTCCACGACATGCAGAGTCAGATACACGTAGCAACCGTCCCTTGTGGTCCCACATCTTAATTATTTAATTTCCATTTGTAGTTGGGTAGGTTTAAAGGATAAATTAGGATTAAGGTTCTTTGCAACTCAAAAAGAAATACATTTGATGTAATTACCTGCGTTGGTACAAGGGATCATATCGGATAAAATCTCATTCACATTTTGACCCAAAAGCAAATCCTTATTCAATAGTTGATTATCAAATACTTACCCAAATAATCTTTATATATGAATAGGAAACCTTCAAAAATTACGACAACTTCGGATTACTTGCCGCATAAGGAAATTAAAAGGGGCGTTTTGATTTAGACACAGTTACATAAAACGTTAAAAAAAAAACAATTTATCTTGGTTAGCAATTTAAGATTTTAAATTCAAATGAAGTTTAGACGATGATTAAGAAACAAAATTTTTAGGAGGTCAAATAGATTTACCTATGAGGTGGATGCATTGGGTGCGAAAATTTTATAATAAACCCCCGCATATCGTAGACAGTGTAAATAAACAAATAAATGTGCATCCAAGCATCTACCAGCTAAGGATTCAACAACTAAGAATCCCACCACATACTATGTTCTGGTTGATACTCGAAAATCCCTAAGTGAATGAGGAGGATGGGTACACTGCAAGTACTGTCCTAAATCGACTATTGCTTAGATTTATCTTCTTGTTCTTGGGTTTGTAAATGTCTGATTACCGGCAAAAAAAATTACATCCTAATCCTAATTATCTAATGTTAATTATTTCACATAAATTACCGACAAAAATAGAATTTAATTATATATAAAAAAAAAGATGGACTCTCAAAGTTTGCTATGTTAAATTAGATGGTCACTCTCTCTCTCTCTGTGGTTGCCAGCCTATATGTTTTCTGGCAAGCATCATACATCAAGTGACTAGTTTCCACGTCAAAAATATGTGTGATAGATTTTTCCAACCGCTGAATTTGCAACTGGTCCCCAAAGTTGTTTAACATATGCAGCATGTCAAGTCAAAAATCGCCGTAGTAGTTGTAGTAGTACGGTCAATAATTGGATACCTCCCGAATCCCGATCTCCTCCAGCGAACAGTAACAGCAATAGGACAGGGATGATGACTCCACGCCGATATACAGTCAGCTACGCGTAGGAAACAACTGTTTGTAATCATGTATTATCCAACATGCATGAAACGAACGATCCTCGTTTATGCAAGTTTTTTTTCTTTATTTCCATGGCATATGATATATGTGGGTTAGGTTTGTCCTAGGAGTGTGCTCACCATCGTCCATTGGGGTTTCATCTTATTTTAACAGAGTGGAAATATATTAAATTAGTTTTGGATGAAATTTCTACTGAAGTAGCCAGAGTGATCTATATATTTATAAGTAATGTTAAGAAGATTAAATTTGAAGACTAAAATTGTAAACTAAATAATGTATCTAATAGAAATTAGAAATGAGCACGTCTATCAATATTTAAGTAATAAATCAATCATCAACTTCTATATCCTTTAGTTTCTAAAATTTAATTTCCAAATTGAGTATCTCTAGTATTACTCTTTGTTTGGTCGAAAGTGTTTAAGAGCAAATTTGAGTCTAAATCGTAACCTGGAATAGAGCAATTTTATAATTAAGGTGGAATATACCTTAATATGGTAGATATTCATATATTAGTTTTTTTTTTCCTTTTGGAATATGCTTAATTAGGGAATTGCGGATGACTATAATTTGACTAGACCTAAGAATTTGTTGCACAACCCATTAATTCGACCCGAAAGTATCGGATTTATGGTCAACACATTAAATAATCAGGCTATTATTGGATCATTCCGTTAATCATTGACCATGAGTGGTCAACAGTCAACGTCGGTCAACGATGATCAACAATCATGGGTGGTCAACTTTGACCGCTCATGAAGAATTTTTTAAAGTAAATTGACTTTTCCTACAAAATACCAAAGCACATCAAAACATTCATAAAAATTAATTTACAAGTGCGAAAAATGTGAAATTTTTTTTTGTCAACATTCGTGATCACATTCTTTATGCTTTGATGATGGTTACATCATTGTTTGAATTTTAGAGTTTAGGGTTTAGGATTTTAAGATTTAGGGTATGTAGATATAATTTAGTAACAACATGGTATGTAAATACTAATTTAGTATAACGTTTTTCATTTGGTTATTTATTGAAGCAAAATATATATTTTTTAATACGTAACTGGTCGGGTCATAATACTTGTTAATTTTAACAAGTTGAGTTTGAGTCGGGTCATATTACCAGTTCATTTTAATGGATTTGACAAGACACATTCCGTTTAAACATCAAGTATGTCACGAAAACAACACAAATATGATAAACACGAAACGATCACCATATCTAAATCTAACTAGGGTTATTGGACTGAATGATTCCCGTTGTTACACAAAATATTTTCAGTTAGATGCATCGAGTTTGATGCCGGCACTCTTTTCAAATGGTGGCCATAGTTGTTTTGCTTTAGCCTTATCAGTTGTTTTAGGGTTTTGGGTTCTTTGAGCTTGGTTACTGATTAAGCTTCTTTCGGTTATGTGTGATATTTAATCAGTGGTCGATGAGGTTGTTGCCTGTTGTGAGTGTGATGTTGTCCTTTTGGTTGGTGTGTATTCATCTTGTAAATAACTTTGATGTCATGTTGACGTTTATCTTTATTTATTTTGATAAAAGAATTACTACGGGTTATTGTGATTTTGGTATCAATTAATTATTTTATATTTTATTTCAAGGCATATGTTATGTGGGTTAGGTTTGCCGAAGGAGTGCACTCACCATCTTCCATTGGCCTTTGATCCTATATATTTTCCCTAATTAAAACAGTGTGAGATAAGTTTCTCAAGATGTAGCGAAAGTGATCTATTTGTATAGACAAAAGTACTTAAATTGGGACCGAGGAAAATAGAAAGAACGAGAGATAGATACTTGTGAATCACTCAATCAGGGGCAACGAAAATCACTCACGTTGCTAATTGTGGATTCACTCGACATAACCAAGTCTCAAACTTGATTTTAGAAGAAGAAACAACTCACTTCGATTGCACTAAGCAAATTATATTTTAATTCATTCAAGTCTCCTTTCTCAAGGGTTTAGTACATATATTTGTAAGGAATACAACACAATGAAACACTAATCCGAATTGGACTTTTGATCTACCCCAAAAATATTTAAAATGTTCTTAAATGACTACTTAATTATTTGTGTTGCTCTAAAACTCAATTAAATATATTTGATGGTTCCTATATGCATGAGACTATTACTACATCATTATGAGAAATTGAAGTCAAAAGTCTTAAGCAATAACTTGAATGGTGCAATTTATATAAGGTGGAATATGCTACTCTTGTTAGCCTTTTCATTCTAAAGAACCTTTATTGGTGATTCAAATGGCTTTCTCATTAGAGAAATTCTAAGGTTCAGTAACCAGACCACGTGTATATATGTATCACTCCATACACAAACAACACTCGCTTACTCCACCCTTCCTGATTTTTCATGCTAATTTTGGCCCATTTTTTATCTCACCCTCTCTTACAAGGATTCCAGGTGCCGTACGTATAGAAGACCCTCTCTTCTCATTGACGTTTGGTAATGTGAAAAAACATAACGACAGTTTAAGATAAGGTAAGGTTTAGGTTTAATTTCTGGATGACCAATGACTAGGGTTGTTGGGCAGACTTTTTTACACCATTGCACCCGGCTCAACTAATTTTCCTTGGTTTGTTGGCGGAAATTTGCTTTAGATATTTATGGGTTGTTTTAGGGTTTTGGGTTTCTTGGGCTTGGTTAGTGATTAAAATTAGTTGTGGTTATGCGCGCGTGTTGTTTAGTTGATGTGGTTGTCTTTCCCAATAGTTTTGTGTTGTTGAACTCTTAGTGTGTGTTTTGGTCTTGCAGATGACTTTAATGTAACGTTGGAGTTTGTTTTATGAAATTATTTATTTGATAAGAAAATGACTAGGCATATTGTAGTTTTATGATGTTAATGTATTGATGATGTAGGGC